AGGCATTGCTTAGTTGACACGCTTTGCCATTTGTTTGTCTGTACTGGTCGGCTTGGCTTAGTTTACACGCCTTGCTATTATTTCAGCATACAATTGCTGTATTAGGCATTGCTTAGTTGACACGCTTTGCCATTTGTTTGTCTGTACTGGTCAGCTTGGCTTAGTTTACACGCCTTGCTATTATTTCAGCATACCATTGCTGTATTAGGCATTGCTTAGTTGACACGCTTTGCCATTTGTTTGTCTGTACTGGTCAGCTTGGCTTAGTTTACACGCCTTGATATTATTTTAGCATACCATTGCTGTATTAGGCATTGCTTAGTTGACGCGATTTGCCTTCATTCATAAATTTTAATAGTGTGCATTGCTTAGTTTAAATGCTTTGCAATTTGTTTTCAAGTCTCAAATTATGTACTGTCTTGTCAGCTTGGCTTAGTTTATTTTATCCATTCTGCACGGCTGATGCTTTAATTTGATATGAAATTGGATTTTAATTGTACATAGATACATTGTCACATCATGCCAGAAGTTCTTTTTCAAATTAATCATGTATGGGAACCCTACTAGCCCGCGCAAGAAAAATGTCCAATATCTAGTCAGGAACGACAGCCTTTATAAAAGGCTGCGGGAGATTTCCACATCATGTCTTAAATACATAAGTTTTTAATTAATCTAGGTTACAGTTTTACACTTTAATTTTTCGTAATTTAAGATCTGTCGGTATAAGGCAGCAGATCTTTATATATAGAAAAAGCAGTGAATTACAGCAAACTGAGTGCCATTACAATCTTTCAAATTTACTGACAGTTCAAGGCTGCAGTACGTTGGACATACTGTAGGTTACAGTTTTCCACTTTTATTTTGGTAATTTATGATCTGTCAGTATAAGGCAGCAGTTCTTTAGATATTATAAAAAAGACAGTGAATTACTGCAAACTGAGTGTCATTACAATCTTTCAAATAACTGACAGTTTAAGGCTGCAGTTTTCTCCTTGCTGACGTGCAAGGCCGAAGTTTATTTCTTTCGTGCCATAATAATGTTTATGACGGTATTCCTATTGGCTTCATTAAGGTTTTATAAATCTGACAGTACAAGGCTGCAGGTTTCATAATTAATCATATGTACATATAATTTCAGATTGAGTTCATGCTACTGCATGATATCACTAGTTGAATGGATTTATGTAAATGTTATAAGTACATTTGTACTGAAGGTTTTTATGTATTATTGTAGAAATGTTTACATTCACATCTTGTTCAAAGGTCTTGTTACTTAATAATTTTTTGGAAGAGTCTAGTCTTGTATAGAAACTTTTTCTATTTATCCTTAATTAATACATTAATTTATATTTTTCATGCAACAATCATATAATGAACGAATTAACATTAGACACGTCAGACTCACATGTATTTAGATCAAATGCATAAATAAGGTTTAATTAGATATTTTACAATTTTGATTTCAATTCTACATTAGGTCTTACCTGATAATTGGAAAAACGTATAGCGAACAAATTGACATTTACATCTATTTGGTCTAATGCATTTTAAAGGTTTAAGGAATAAATGATTCGAAATAATTGGCATATCCGCTAGGACTTACGCAAATTGAAGATACTAACTAATATTCAACATGTCACATACCTTACATAGGAGATGTGTATGTTTAAATGTCTAAGGTGCCACGCACTGTTGACATACTCCAGTCTATGCATTAAAGATTTTAATTTACAATCTACTAGCCCATATTCCAGTTTTGAATTCATACTACTATATATTTAACTAAATTTTTGTATATTTTTCAATTCATGAACTAAGTTTCACAGGCTAGGGGCCTGTGCTAAGTTTGATGACTGCAACTTGGAAGCCATGGCCATGCAATTTTGGCTGTTCACCATTGAAGGATATCTGGTTGCTGATACAATAATAGTCCATTCCTAATTTCTAATTTAAAAATAATTTTTTTTTCTAGTTTCATTGTCATTGATGACTAGTATATCTTGTAAAATTTTTCCATTACACATAATTTGAAACTTCTATAAATTTGATTCATGCTACCTCTATTTGTTACAACCAGTTAGACGTTGAAACAGCCCTGATAATGCATACTGTCGGATGTCTCAATAATACATATATAATGTAATTGTTATAAGTATTTTCACAGCTAATTATTTGGTCTATTAACTCAGTTGCTGGTTTACAAGAGCATATCCTGTAATGTGCCTGACAGTTTAAGGCTGCAGTCCACATATATTTAAAGAGCCAGTCAGGATCCATTTATATGTTAGACATTAATTCTGCACATATTATAATATTGTCATTAGATATATGATTTGTCGTAACATTTTTGTCCTAACATGACTTGATTAAATTAATGGTATCTTCGGCAAATTTAGCCCCTCTGTTTCAATCCTTATTACAGGTCAAGCTCATCCCTAGTCAAGTCTCTCTGGGTGGCGGAAGGTTCCCTTGGTGGCGGTTTTTACCTCCCAGTTTGGTTATTTCGATACAAATATATACATGCCATGTTTGTTATTATGTAACATTTGTCATGTTTGTTATTATGTAACATTTGTCATTTATGGCATTTAATAAATGCCCTATTTCATTCAACCTAAGTGTTGTGTTTTATCTCATACCAAACAAGTTCGTCTTGCCAGTTATATTTGCTTGACCTGGACAATACATAAAATAGATTTTATGCCCACATAAAATAATTTATGTCATTGTTCTGTCCCTATTCTCATTACTGTACCGAATATTACGGGTCAGGTTTTAGCCATTACGGGTCAGGTTTTAGCCAAGTATGTCTTAGCCAATCGATATCAAGACTTAAATCATGTGATGTTAATTAACCAATGATTACATTAGATCTATCACAAAGAAATAATTTTGGCGAGGAATGATTCTCGCCTTTCTGATTACTAAAATCCACCTCCTCCAACTCCATCCTCCTCTTTCAATTTTTGATGTTGATATAAATACCATTTCATTTATTCTTAATGAATCAGTTGTTTCACTTATTGTTTATCTCAATTTTTTGTGCAACTATTCATGATATACACTATATATATGTATATAATATTATGTATATTGTTCATGCAAAGATTTATAAAACTAGTCGATGTTATATTATCTCTTTCAAATATTTTTCTATTTGTTGTCATAAATACTTATGATCTAGTCATATGTAATACACTTATTAATGTATAGAATGTTTAAGATATTTTCCAAGGATGGAGCCCTACATCAAGTGGTACTAGACACAAGATAAAAGGGCACAGGTTTCCAAACTTTGGTTTTTCCCGGGCGAGTCGACCACAATTTGGAAAATATTTATTTTTTCTGGTCAATTGTTTTTGATCAGCAATCCATTTTATTATATTTATGTAGATGGTTTTTGGTTCAACTTTGTCATCTTACATAACTTTTGTTAAGATTGTAATCTATTTAATTGAATTACATTACAATGTTATCATAATCTGGCGGTTTTTACCTCCCAGTTTGGTTATTTCGATACAAATATATACATGCCATGTTTGTTATTATGTAACATTTGTCATGTTTGTTATTATGTAACATTTGTCATTTATGGCATTTAATAAATGCCCTATTTCATTCAACCTAAGTGTTGTGTTTTATCTCATACCAAACAAGTTCGTCTTGCCAGTTATATTTGCTTGACCTGGACAATACATAAAATATTGCGTATGTTATGAATAAGCAAACAACATTAACGCCTGAATCCTAGGCTAGGTTAGTACATGTATAACACCTTCAATTATTTCATAAAAGTGCATTAATTATTAACACTTGCTAACATCCCGTTTCATTGTCTCGAAAACAGTGCCTTTATCACACCGTGTGAAGACATTATATTTTTGTCTTTCATTACCCCATGCTCACAAAATGAAATAGGTTAATTTCAAGTAGTACAACTAAGAAAACTTTAAAGGTCGTCCTCCACGGGAAAGTTAAAAATGTTGCAGGCTTGGCTTAAATGCAAGCTTAAGTCCTCATCAACCAACCACCTAGCGCAATTTCATTTTATGCAGAATACAAAATTTTAACACGAAATTTGTGTTAAATTTAGAAACACCGGAAAAGACTATAAAGCAATGAACACGGAACTTTTAATCACGAAAAGCAGCACGTGACCCCGAGGTAAACACTGAATATCACCTCAGCGAGATAAGAATGGATGGAATAAAATATGCATGTTTGAAATGGGATCAGAGGTTATGCAACCTATCGTTCTAAATGTGTTTTCTAGACTTTTTAAGTGTATTACCAAGATTAGATTGGATACTGAAAGTTCTATAACGAACAAATATCGTTCCGAGAGATCCTCAAGGATATACGATATACCACATCTGATTGCATGTTAGGTGTTACAAGCATTACCATAGACGGTATTTGTACAGGTTTGGTTTTAAAAAAGCTTTCCATCATAAAATGTGGTCACAGTTCATCATCGAAATAATGTTATATTCAACGCAATTCAACGGAACTTATTGTGAATAATAACAAACACAAAGGGTTGTCATTTGTTGTATGATAAACAATGCTTTTATATGAAGCTGAACATGTAGAGAAAAGTGTTGATGGATAATTAAAATAAACGTGCAAATTAAAAAATGATAAAAAAGAATAACAAAATGTTGCAATTGAAATCAATAGAATTTACCAACTATATATTTCTTTCGTTTTGATTAAAATGCAATAATGTATCACTCCGACTCCGAATATAGATGCATTTTGATAATGAATCGTTTTCTCATTTCCAATACATGTAAACCTATGACAATAGTTACATCTTTTAAAGAACATTTTACAATCTTATATTATACAGAAAAATGGAGAAAGGGTGAAATTTCATAAGCATTGTTCAGAACGAAATCGCTCTGTGTCAAAAATGCAAAAAGCATATACGTATATACATGTATATCAATTGTTTCCAAAATGTCTTTAAGGTTTGAAAGTTTATTGTCAGTGTTCAATCATAACACTTCTAGCAGCAGCATGTCATTGTCACTCAGTAAAGTTTGTATAGGTATCAAACTGGTGTATGAATTCAAGGCAAAACTTGTATTGTTCCTGCAATCATAAAATAACATTACATTGTATCACAAATTTCCTTGGTACATTATAACATATATGCATGTAGTTATAAAAGGGAATAATCTTGAATGAGGAAATACATAGGTCTGCAAATGAACATCAATTGAATCAGTCAAAACTTCAGACATACATTTTTTTCCATTTAATCCATTTATATGCAATATTTATGATAATTAGTACATGCATCGTATAAAACGCTGTCAGAGTATCGCTAAAATTTTGTAAAGTTCATTTTAGAAGAAACACCTTTTCCATATATTCTGCACAAAAAACATAAATTGATCAATTATATAGTAAAACTAGAGCAACATATTACCAGTTATGGTATTCACACACGTGTCATGGATTTCCGTATAAACATCTTCTTCTGAGTTTGAAATGTGTCCTTCGTTTCTTTTCCACAAGTGTGCATACGGTTTTGGCTTGTTACTTTTATCGTCTCGTTTCCTTCTTTTTTAAATTTGAAAACCATAATAATGTATGGATGAAAGATAAATGACCTCATTTAACTGCATTCACTACTTTAAGGGCAGATATCTCAAACATTTTTTATCAATAAGTTTGCAAGATTTAAGAAAATTCTGCGCTATTCTCTTTGCGCTTGTAATCAATACTTCAATTTCCACTAATAGTCATATCTACATTTTCCTTATGAAGCGCTTTACAACCTGCAATTTGAGAACAACTGCTCATCATTACTTTGACATGGTGAGAGTTCAAATAAGTTATCTTTATTTAAACTGTAATTACATATAAATATTTATGGATATTTACCTCCGATATAAAATGAAACCAATCGCTACAATTGCACTAACAACCAGCACGATGGCGGCAGATACACCAATTATTAATGGTACATTCGTATTTTGGGAAGCAGTATCTGTAGAAGTATCTCTAGTTCGCACTATTTAATAGATAAAGATTCATACAAGTCTATATAAAATAGTTTCCCATTGTTTATAAAATATAAGACAATTTGCATAATTGAACAATTGTGCCATTCATGTCTTTTTGTATTGCATAATCATGTTTTTATAAACAATTTTGAAAACGTTAAACATGTATCTGAATAACGTTTCCACAAAAAGAGCTTGTTTGAAACTGGTATGTTTTCTTTAAGTTCTCTTTATTTGCAAACGAGTCTCTTCGCTATCTGTTTAAAACACATTAAAAATTATTTAAAAAAACACATTAAAAAACTTACTGCATGTAACTGGTTCGCTGTCCCACTTCCCATCTATCATGCACGTCCTCCTTATTTTGTTAGGATTTGATAATTTAAAACTGTCATTGCAAGCTGCTGTAACAATTGTTTTGTATGGATATCCCCTAGATAATGCATCTTTTGAGTAGTTATAAAAACCGTCCTTTAGTTGTTCTAGACTTTGACAAGTAACTTGAATGCAATGGCCTAATTCACCACTCCATGTTTTATTTTCTAAACATTGTATTACAGAAATGGAAGCATTATTAAAGTATCCAGTATTACAATGAACACGTATCATATCAAGATAATTTAGTTCTCCACCCGTATATTTTGCAAATGAGCCATTGATTATTTTCTCTATATATATTGCGTTAACAGGATTTTCCGGGGACTTGCATGTATTTATTTTACACTTTGCGTTTCCTGTCCATATTTTCTGTTCATTGCACAAGCGTTCCCTATCGCCTAGAAGAGTATAGCCTATGTTACAAGTCAAGTATATCTTTGAATTGTAATTTAAAGGGCCTTTCCTATAAACACTGCCATTTGCAAATCTGTATTCACCATTTGCTATACGTTCTGGATCAGAGCACTGTCTTATCTTGCATAATAATGGTTTACCACTCCATTCTGTGTTGTTTACACATACTCTATTTGCACCGTGAATCCCTTCAAGCACGTTCCCGATATACTTGTTCCAACAAATACGGTTAGATTCTGTACATTCGTATTAGTGCCTAAGCTATATAGTCCATTAGCTGGATTTGCTGGTATAACACATTTAACTTCGATACACTCGGGGCTGTCATTCCAACTTGGCCCATTGTTCGTTTTTAGACAATAAATATGTTGATGTTTTGCTTTATAACCGTTTTCACAATAAACTGTAGCAACTGTATTGACTTCGAAAAATGGCTTGTTTGGCTTCAATCCTCCATGTGACACTTCACTAGATTCACAAACAGTTGGAGGAGCTGAAATGTAGGTACCAGCAGTTAGTGTATAGCGGTCAAAAAATATATATGAAAATATTAGCCATCCACAAATCATTTTGATAACGATTTTTATAAAGCTATCTTTGACAACGAATATGGCTTGTAAATAAACAAACCTAGGATTTCACGTTATAGTAAAAAGAAACACAACTGACAAAAAATTTATTTACAATCATACAACAAATCGTTAAAACTACGTGTATATATTCCTTCTCATTCTTGATAAACTTATTTTCCTACTAGACTCAAGATCTATAATTCTTACTACACTCTATATATATGTGTCTCCTAGACTCAAGATCTATACTTCTTACTACACTCTTGATCTATTTTTTTTACTACACTCTAATTCTATTCTTCTTACTACACTCTAGTTCTATTCTTTTTACTACACTCTAGATCTCATCTTCTTACTAAACTCTAGTTCTGTTCTTCTTACAACTCTCTAGGTCTTTTCTTCTTACACCACTATAGATCTATTCTTCTTACCACACTCTAGATCTTTTTTCTTACCACACTATAGATCTTTTTTTCTTACCACACTCTAGCTAGATTTATTCTTCTTACTACTGTCTCGATTTATTCTTCTTACCACACTCTAGGCCTATTCTTCTTACCACACTCTAGATCTTGTTTTCTTACCACACTATAGATCTTTTTTTCTTACCACACTCTAGATTTATTCTTCTTAACACACTCTAGATTTATTTTTCTTACTACTGTCTAGATTTATTCTTCTTACTACACTCTAGGCCTATTCTTCTTACTACACTCTAGATCTATTCTTCTTAATTATTTTCAGTATTTGTAAGCACGCACGTACACAATAATTTTCAAGGCGTTCCTTTGCAAACGATAAAGACTGAAACGCATAAAAAAGGTTCCAAAGATCATTACCATTTATTCAGTAAATGGAGATTTATACCACACACGTTATTCAGAAAGTTGCACCTTTCACTTTAAAGAGAATACCAGTTTGGTATACATATGTGACTATATGTCTTGCAAATACCATTTTGACGTATTATCACTTTTTATTGCAACACAAAACATTTACTCGTACAAAACTAATTTAATACCTGCATATATCTTAACTTCGCAAAGTGTCAAGTAAACCTTATCATTATCCTGTGACGATTGGCGCTTTGGTAAGTTAATAGCCACAACAGAAAACAAGTTTATAGTGTCCACTTTTATTTCAATTAAGTCTTCATTAAACTTGTTATGTTCTTTATCATCATAGAGCTGACACCAACCGTCTATGCATCCCATACCATTTGATACAGATCCAAACACTTGAAAACCTTCAAGCCGATACTTCAAATCTGAAAAATAAAAGAAATTTATAGACAATAAACAAGAACGCTGTCAAGATGGAAAGTCTTTATCTGACAAATATTCGATAATTCAACTGATGTGTGTTGGATAAACATCCTGTTGTTACTCAATAACCGCACGCACCGCACTGTTGTGTTTTGAATGTTCAACAGGAACACTGACATTTTATGTGACATGTTTGCATGTGTCCAACAAACACAATATACACATTGATGTGTTTAAAGGGCGTCCTTGACCGGATGGTTAAGGTCTATGGACTTTAAATCACTTGTCCCTCATCGCTGTAAGTTCGTATCCTGCCAGGTCTTATAATTTTTTAGTGGGAAAAGTATCCAGCTAGCTTACTTCTACTCAGGTGCGCATTTGTGCCTGAAATAATGCAATCTCAGTATTAAGATTGATGGTTTAGAAAAGTATGATGAATATGACATAGTTACATTAAAACAAGAACCGGAAAAAAAAGATAAACATTGAATAGAATAGCATTAGGCCTAAAATGTGCAATTTTTATACTTTTGGAGTAGCAATAACTTTTGTAAAGCTCGTAGCAGTATTGTATGAACAGAGAAAATAATTGCATTACATTGACGGCTCATAAAAAGAACTGCCTCAATATATCATAAATTACAAAACACTTGATAACATTTTTTACATGCATAAACATATGACTTGATGACTTGGGCCATAAGCTTATTGCGTTCTATAAATGCACGTTTCTTGAACAAATGCATTGTATATTTAGAACAGACTTTCATATTAAGTTTTTCTAGTAAATAAAACGTAAATAAAAATAGCCAACAGCTTATAGTAAGACACTTTTAATTAAATTTCTACAAATATCGCTATTAATCCGATGCCATATCTGTATTTTACCCATAGTCTGAGAATATTTACCTCTTATACGGAATCAAGTATATTTGAACTTAAGTTTGTCAGAACATATAGGTAGAATGGGGGTTATGAATAGCATAAAAACAATCTAAGTCGCTTCAATTATTATCTAAATGAAAATAAAGTAAGTCAATATGCGTGCATAACTTGAATTTTTTTCACTAGGTAAAAAAATGTATATTGAATGTTCCTAAATTTTGAGCCTGAATATGATAAGGATTTTCTGGTGAAATCAATTCTTGGTTTGGGGACTAAAGGAAGCCCTTGCTCATATGACCTTAATTTTATTTTCTGTATTTGTAAAATGATTTTGCATATGACCAGGGAGAAGCTTATTTAGGGACTTGTATACTTAAATGGCTTTTTTCCTAATTTACTCTATCAGAGAATTTCATCAAGTTTAATTCAGAAAGTAACTCATCAGTAGGCGCATCAAAATCTTTATCTGATATTATTCTTGCTGCATGTTTTTGAAATTTATACATGTCGTTTAAGAGCTCTTTACTGCAATTGTCCAAACTAGTGCAACAATAGACTAAATGAGGAAGAATGTATGCATTAAAGAACATTTTCCTAACTTGAAGATTTAGGAATGGTTTAATTAGTCATTAGTAGATATAGTAAGGAATACTTATGTCTCAGTATATAGTTTTGTTACATTTTATTTCCCGCACTTTTAAGAAAAATATAAAACTTATTTTGAAATGTACACAAATAATTTCATGTCATAATTTTTGTACATTATTTTTAAGTATAGAAAACATAGATTATTGGGAGTAAAGACATATTAAGCACATAGATTCATTATATGATATGCTGATACATGTACACATATACATCAATAAAATAAAAGAAGTACACATGCATTTATTTTGTAACATAAACGCTATGTAAAAAATGCTGCTTATTCATTATAAATGTTATAGAACATTTCATTTAGATTTAGTGCTATGTGGAAACAGACAAAGAATTTTTCATTTTAGTCATATGAAAACATACATGTATATTTAATATGAATATAAAATTGTAAAATAAACAACAAGAACTTGGCTAATTAATTTAACAAACTATTACAATTACAAAATTTAATGCATACAAAGTTTATTTTTCATAATTTTGGTATTTAATTTCGTTAAATTATTAATATGCTTTTTTGAGAAAATGATTAAACAACCAACAATGAGACATTGACAAAATAAGATCAAACCTTATTTGAGAACAGTTAAAAGGAAAGCTACTTTTATAATGTTACATGCAGTCTAACATTTACAGGTCATTCTCCAATCTTTGTGCATTTGGATGATAATAATAGAATTTCTTTATGTTACAGCTCTTATGTGTCTTTAAAAATATATCCAATGTATTTCAGTGCGTGCGGAACCCTGAGAGCTATAAATCACAAAATATAAATATCCTTTGTAAGGATTGTGGGCAGTACGCCTAAGTATACGTTAAACTAAACTTTTGGAAGAAGCTTCATCTGAATTATACTTCTAAAAAAATAGATCATTCCCTTCACATCCATACATTAAGATAATTAATTGAATTTAAGAAAATGAGGAACGCTGGAATAAGTTTAAACACACTATTTAGAAAAGTTGAGAACACTATTGATGAATCTCCAGGTGCGCAATTTTACCTGCACCACTAGCTAAATAATTTGATGAAAAGTTACCACACTTTGCTAAGTATATCACGTTTTGATACACATCATATATGATCTTTAAACATTAAGTATGCATTAAGTGTGTAAAGAGATTACCAAAACAATTAAAAGTAGAAATATAAAAGGACAAGGATGCCCATACTCCACTCTTTTGTCCGTCTGCTGACATACAATTGGACAGTATGATAGAGGTTGGGGCATATAAACTTGTCCAATTTTTCTAATGTTGACATTTTTATTTTTTCTAATATAAGACTTTCAAATCTCAATTACATATCATTACGACAAGCAGAATCCAAGATGCAAAACTACACATGTTGACCAACAGTCCTGTAAATTTCCATGATTCTAAGTCAACTACATTTTTAGTACGCGAGACACAAGTTGAAAATTGCAAATCGTTTACAAAGTTAAGGGTAATAAATCTACAAACACCGGATAAATCCACGGGCAAATCCCAAATTAAATAACTTCACATGTTGTCTTACGTTCATGTAAACTTTCATGACTCCGAGTTAAATACATTTTGAGCTACGCACGACATAAGTTGAAATTACAATTTATACAAAACCAGGAATAATAACTCCTCACTAAACTGAATTAATACAAACACACAAACCCAAGGTTCTCAGTTTCACATGCTGATCAACATTTATGTAAAGTTTCATGACTCCAGGTCATATACGGTTTGGGCTTCGCACGACACAAGTTGAAAATAGCAAAGTTTTACTAAGTCAAAGGCAAAAACATTTAAAATTTTAATCTTAAAAATACTGCTAAAATCCACAAGGTGCACAAACTCACCAATATTCTGTAAAGATTCGTGACTCTAGGTCAAACACTTGCAAAAAGTTGTATTGTTTACTAAGACGAGGGCAATAACTGACCAACATACGAAACTCTAGGTGCTGATCAACATTCCTATAAAGCTTGTTGACTCTAGCTTAATCACGTTCATAGCTACATGTGACAAAACACATATCCGCTCATATCATAACTAGAAAATGTCATAATTTAAAACAATGTTAAAAGATTTACAAATGATAATCAAAACTACATCTTTGTTACTATATAAAAAAAATTCATTCAAAATATTAATGCATGTCAAATATACTTTTTTCAGTATTTTAATATCTCAGTGCAATTATTCATCGTAGCAATTTCACTTGCCATTTAGAAATAAGACAATGATGTATAACGCATACACGTATAAATATTTTTTAACAATTTAAGGAATTTCATAAACGAACTTTCTTCTTTATTTTCAAGGATTGAATAGTTTATTGAATATTAAAATAACTCATTGTGTTGTGATTAAATGACATAGGCCCTATTATACGATTTGTAAAAAGATATATACATCTCGTGCGCACGAGATACTATGTCGTGGAAACGAGTTACTAAGTCATTGCCATGAGATAATTAAGTGGTGTGCACGAAATACAATGTCGTGGCCACGAGATACTATGTCCTGGCCACGAGTTACTAAGTCTAGGCCATGAGATAATTAAGTGGAGTGGTGCTCACGAGATATTTTGTCGTTGCCACGAGATACTATGTCGTGGCCACGAGTTACTTAGCGTAGGCCACGAATTAATTAAGTGGTGCGCACGAGATACTATGTCGTGGCCAAGAGATATTATGTCGTGGTCATGAGGTACAAAGTCGTGGCCACGAGATAATTTAGTTATGCGCAATAGATACTATATCGTGGCAACGAGTTAATAAATCGTAAGAACCGGATAATTAAGTCGTGCGCACGAGATAATTAACCAATCAGCTTACACTATTTATATTAATTTGCCTACTTAACTCGACATGTGCCATAGGACAATGATGCCCCTACTCACCTGCTTGTCAAAATGCTATTTAAACAAGTTATTGATTGGACAATGATTTTACATTTAGCGTCATTGTGTCCCTTATTTTTGAACCAATTACCTCAAATTTAAATGTCACCAGCTGATCAGGTTGATTCTTGTACACATTACACAGGTTTTTAGGTTGAATGACTTTTTGCTGAGGTATGGCTATCCTGAGGCGACACACGCCATCCCTGATAGCCTTTGTTTAATAAAACCAGTAATTGGTTTTGATATCGGATCAGATCATTGATTCCAGTTTCAGAATACTTACATTTCACTGCACATCTAGTACACATATACCGCTAATAAATATGCCCTCTTAACGAAGAAGAGGGGAACAACTTAGATATATCAACAACATAAACCGAATTCTGTTAAGTTGCATTTTTAAAAGATGCCTAATGTTACTGCAATTCGAAGAAAAGTGAATTAAGGTAATTTGCCAGACCGACGTTATAATGATAGAATCATTAAGAAAATAGTTTGCACTGATACTATTCATGGACCGAGACAACTTTATTTCAGTTTTTTGCGACTCAGATATTTTGCTATTATTATGAAAATGTTTTTTTGTACACTGACTGACACACTAAAGTATCTGGAGTAAAAAATCTTATTTGCATAGGATATTAATTACAAAAAAACAACATTCAAGTCCCCTTGACGTAGAAATTTAAGTAGCACGATCGATTGTCTTAGAAGTCGGAAATGTCATTACGACGGAAGTAAAATTGTTTTAAAAGTGCGCGATTCTTATAAGTTAGTGAAGTACATAGACGATTTTGTCAAAAGAAAACTACTAATCAGTGACTTACGCATTTTTTAATTCATTTTATTTATTTATTTATTAGTTTATTTCTATTATTATTATTTTTATTATTATTATTATTATTATTATTATTATTATTATTATATTATATTATTATTATTATTATTTTTGGCAAAAGGAAAAACAGTTTTTTTTTCAAACTAGCCGTGGTCTGTTCCACCAAAATGCGGTTGAAGTATATTACAGTGACCTGAACGTCATTCGAGCTGTATTTTTTTGCAATAAGATAGAATAAATGTAAACCTGAATAAGCGCATCAGCTTATAAGAAGAGTATTTCGAGTGCAAATTGCCTTACGGGATCCGAACAATTATGAAACGAACGCTATATATCCCTTTGCTATTACGCACTTAGGATATATTATTAAGTAATGATGTGCAGCTCGAATAAAATTCAGGTGATAAATGTATGCTCTATATACACGGTATTAGTTATTTTCGTGACAAGGATATGATTTTTCTCTCTGTCAATAACACGTAATTACCCTTACTATAAAAAAAGATGATGGCCATTATAGCAGAAATGCATAAATGAAGGCAAAATATGAAGAAAAAGAAAGAAAAAATATTACCTCGTCTGGGCTTTGAACTCACACCTTACCGAAACTCTTTGTTGTAATGGAAAACTAAAAATCTTTCAGATAAACGAATTTTCATTCAGCATTTTATACTGAAAATCTCATTTTTATAAGATGTTCGCTTATTCTTAGCGGGACCCCTAAGTCCTAAGTATGATGGTTTACAGATAACTGTGTGCAAAACATTCTAGTTTGAATGGTGTACAGAAAAAATAAATCAACGCCGAAATAAACGAAAGGAAATAAATCGCAAAATCTGAATGCATTCCTTAAAGGGTGGACGCCAACCAGATGAGCGGCCCATTATTTGTTAACGGAGATAAGAACATATTTTTCGTTAAAGGGACAAAAATGTAAATAACCAATGTTTCCCGATAAAGTTAAAAACAGAAAATGGGAACAGAAATGTTTATCATATCTATTTGAATGCTTTAATTTACCATGCAATAATTTTTAATACTAGTCTTGCAAAATAAATCCCCCAGTAAATCATGCGTCAATCTCAAAATCATAAAAGACACGACTGCTTAGCAGCCGAATAATTTGATTTGTGTGTTCTAATCCAGAAAGTGCAAAAAGCTTTATAAAAAGGATCAGAAGTAATGAAGCCAATTATCAGAGCTGCAAGAATAATAGTTGTAAAACAATCCACATTTCTGTTACGATAATAAAGAAAAAAGACAGATAATTTTCTAGAGCTATGTATAAATCATTTAAAACCAGACTTACCATTTCTGTTAACAATGATTATACCAGTGACATTAAACGAGCTGCCAAGATAAACCTTCCATTGAGCACTTCCATAGCTATTATCATCATAACTAACACCCGTGGTGTGACTACAACTGCCATGCTCAACCTCCCTGTCTGCATTACCGTCGACTGCTAAACTTGCTGCATTGTTTTCAAATGTGCCTGGTCTTTGAACAGCTGGTTTATTTAAAGCTATATTTGGTCCTGACAATATATTATAGAAAATTTATTTAGTCTGAAATAAAACAAAGTATGATTAAAGTCAAATGAAGATGATGTTGAACTGTATATATGTTTCTGTTAGCTTAAAATGAATATTGAGTAGATGATACATTTCATTAATATATCATTTTTGCTTTTTCTGAGCCTCTCATATTTAAACAATCAGTTAATTTATTTTTGTACAGTAGAATGCTTGTTTTGTACATTTATCATTGTTAACGTGAGGTACAGATCAGACATGACAGTGTCATGTGGTTATTTAATCGGTAATGTTTGCTAGTTATATACAGTTTAATGTACCTTGCGCTGACATTTCATTTTGTAAATATTTCTTCCCGGCTTATAAATACATATTGCAATATCATGTCTACTGTACAAGAACATTGTCTATACAAAATCGTAGTAAATACTACGAACTTAGATTAAAAATCGAGGTGAAATATATCATTTTCTACATGTAAATAAAAAATGTTTCTTTTTTTTTCAAAATTGTTCGTTGGTCAAACACATTAACGATGTTAACAATTGACTGTTACTTAAATAATGTTCAATGCTGTTGCATTTAAGGCCCATTATGACCCAGAAATGTTTTTTCTCAAAAGCTTTTATATACGGTGTTCTTTTGCAAAAAGTTACTCATTGGCCTCAATACTCATTACTTTAACTATGTTTTTCATATGTTGCTTTTTGGCACTAAGTATAGTTAAAATTATAGTAAAATTTAGTAGTTTGTATGGAAGTCAAAATATCTGGCTATTTCTATGACGTATAATTCATACTTTTACATTTATTGATACTTTCTTCAGGTGACCGGCAACATTATAAAATTAATTTTGCCTTTTTTTAAAAAATTATAGTAAAATATTATTTGTTTCTGAAAAATAATGTGCCTTTAATGTAGCAATGTTTAATGTCGAAAGGTGAAACGTGTAATAATTGCAACACGAAAAGATTTACCGCTGAAATGCCCGTCTGTAGATAAAGTGCCAACTGCTGTTAAAATGACAAATGAAAGTAAAAACGAAATTTTACTAGAGCCTTTCATTTTTCGAATTCTGAAAAAAAAACATAAACAAATCAACTACAAAACATCAGGCAAAAAATCTAAAATAAGATAATATGCCTTTTTAAAAACATCACCAAATATCTGCAAAAAAGAAATCAAACATAGCAAATTATGTTCCTATCAAACATCAAAGACATATGTCAATAGATAAAAGCTGTATGAGGGAAAGTGTAAAAAATGTATTTTAGCATTTGTGACCTTGACCCCTGAGATCTGTTCTCAACCAAAAGGAAGTAAATGCAACCAAAGTTATGTTCCTACCAAATATGCACCTTCAAACTATAGGCTACACAAAGAGAACTTGATGTGTACCACGTGCTTACCTCTAATGCACTCAAATGCACCTCAAGTGCACCTCAATGTGCAATGAAGACCCTTCATGCCCTGGACAGAGTTTTAAGTTTGTTTGCAGTGACCTCTAAATTTGACAAATATCATAGTGTATGACTCAAAAAAAAAAAACAAAAAAAAAAAAAAAAAAAACAAAGAAGAAAAGAAAAATAAAAGGAAAACAGAAGTAATACTTCAGGTTTTGTTACAGTTACATTGAATAACGAATTTGTAGATGCAGATATTTGGTGATGTTTTTGAAATGCATATCATATATACCGTTTCCTTAATTAATGATTCCAGTCAATATAATATAACCATTACATAAGTATTGAATATTATAGAAACAATCAAACTTATTGATATTCATTATAATAATCAGGTAGTGTTAGTTAAAACAGAAATGCTTAATGGAAATATATAGCAGATTTTTAGATAATGGTACTATCTATTATTATGAAAAGTTGTTAATAAAAATGTTGATATAAAAACGTATTACAGATAACAATGATGAAAGATGTACAAATATAAAAAATATGAATAAAGTTTCCTTCTGATACTTAATAGTCGGTCCCTTATTTGGCAAAAGTCCAACTTGCCAGGTTACGTTAAGTTAAACCATATCCCTTTTCGAAGTGCCCAAAAGGGAAATAGCTTTGCAAATGAAAGCAATAGTTTTGTAACTTTCCAAGATCATGTACTTAGTAAGTGTGTAAATAATGAAGACATTTCTACAGGTACAACTTCGGTATAAGTTAACCTCGTACGCACAGACGGGCGTACGGATACGCGACGGGCGGACACGCGGACGAACGAACACATGGGCTTACAGACGGTTAAATTTATTTATGCCATAAAAGGCATGAAAATTTGTTTCTTTAATCAAAGATCAGCATATTTCTAAATTCAATATCATTTTAGCCAGATAAGATCAATGTAAGTTTTAAAAAACAAATCTTTTGATCTTGATCCGGTTCAATTTTTTTTTGTGGGAAGGGAGCAAGTTCCAAATCCGCCAATATTGCCAAAACTTTGTTTACGATGCTCGAATATGCGCTTGAGATATATTAAGGTACAAAAAACTTTTTTTTCTACAAGGAACACTTGTTTTGTTGCTTTTCGTCGGATAATTGTGACGTTAATACAATCAAAACAATCTTAATAACACTGCACAATTGTCACGTCGCTGTTCATTTGATAATCGTGGCGTTCATATAAACTATTTACCCAGCTGCTGTTAATCATACTTCATAAATTCTTATACAGGTTCTTGCCATGTTATATGGCCGTTATTTGTGCCAGTAGAAATGGGTCGCTTTGATCCAGGTGACATAATTTGACAATTTTGTTGGAGGTCTATGAAAGTTTCATGCAATACATCTTAGAGCTCTGTTGTGGCTCTGGGGGAAAGGTTAAAAATGTAAAGTGATTTTCTATCATTTTGCCATAGCAACCGGACTTCTGTATGGAAACAAATTCTTTAAACAGGGTTGGCGTCCAAAAAATCCTGCTTGAAATAGATCTCGCGTTTTGTTTTTAAGAAAAATGTTTTTAATATCGTAAAATCGCTACACATATAAATAAATATGAAGGTCACACACAAAAGGCAATCACTTATACGCAGTAATTGGAAATAGACTTACCACTGGAGAATATAACCGAAATGTAACTCCATACCTCACAAAAACTAAAGTCTTGAAAAGTAGAGGGGACACTTCCTGGTGTTATCTACCTTACCGGGTTAGCAAATAAATCACTTATTTAGATCAAAAGATATGTGCACAGTAAGAGATAAAGCACCCTAAAAAAAACTTGAAAAATTTATCATCTTTTAGATAAGTCATGATTTAGCGAAACCCATGTTTTGTTTCCTATTTCATGTATACATCGTAATTCGTTCATTTTCGAGGCGAATTACATGTATGTCGTCCTTATGTGCACATTACTATGAAACATGTTAAGATAAAACGATATTTGCCGATAACCATTTAGTAACGGTTTAATATACATGTATGAAATGAGATGTCAGATAAGTCTAAAAAAGAAAGAAAGAAAGGCAAATTGTTTTTTTTTTATTATATCGGGCCCTTCAGGGATTATTTTAAACCCCCCAAGTGGATTTTTTCCCAAAGGGATAACATGTTTCTTTCTTCCTTATTTTTTTTAAAAAGAATTTAAAAACCCAAATTTCACGTCAAAAATCAAAAAAAGGGCAATAACACTGCATTGACATGTTAAAAATTTAAACTCCCAGGGAAAATTATTATCATGCAATATAGTAAAAATTTAAATGGAAAACAAAAACGGCCCATATTCTTCAATTTTAAAACCCTTTTTTTGGGTTTTGAACCCCTGGGGGGAAATTTTTTGGGGGGTACGGGGCCCCCTATGGTCATCAACTGAAAACTGCCCTGCGGTTAACACGGGGATAAAAAGTTTAAATCTGATAGTTTTAAATTTTTATTCAGTTATTTAAATGGGATTTAAAATTACAAAAATCCCGTGGTATTTCTCAAGTACCCTCGTTAGTAGGAGGAGCGTCTGAGATCTTGTTCTACCAGACGAAAGAAAAATCGCAAATGTCGTGTTTTGAAAACTGATTTCACATAGTTCATATTTGTATCTAAAAAGTGCATATATGAAAACATTACTGCAGGTTTCTATTGTTTAGAGAAAACAACAGTTCAAAAAAGATTGGGTGGGGCCATCTTTGATCCCAGTACTTTTATTTGAACAACTTTTTTCGTGCTTATTATCTCAGCTCTAGCTCTTTAGATTTTTAAAAGAAGATTTTTTTTTACTATGTTCATATAAGGAAAATCAATGACCCTCACGGGGTGGAGTCCAGTTTGACCCCAACACTTTTATTTGAATAAATTCATCAATCCGCGGTTAATGTTTAAGCTCCGCCCCCATAGTAACTGTTACATAACACCCCAAACTTTCCGAAAAAAGGCGACCGAAAACGAAAACAAAGTTGAAAATGTCAGACTCTTTATTGAATGTTCCTGAAAATATATCGCTAATGTATTTACCGTATCATGCAGTCCTACATCCATAATGTTAAAATTAGCGATAAAATACCAACGATATTTACGTGTCTGCGAATTGTTGGACGTCAATATGAAAGAACCAACCTTCACGTATTTTATCCTTGGAAGTTGATAAAGAGAAACACACAATTGTTGATGCACACTGCTCTATTAAACCCTAAGCGAAAAAAAAACATAGTTGCAACACGAACAATCTCGCTTTCTGTCAGGGATAAAAAGTCAATCAACATGTTTTTTTATAAAAAGTTACAGGGCTGTAAATCCGGACAATCCCGAGCACCCGTTATACAAACTTACAAAATTTGTCAAGTAAAAATTGAAGAAGAAAAGGGTGTCAGAGACAAAAATGCGGGTGCTTTAAAGGAAATACTTCCCAAAAAAATTTAAAAAAAAGTCAAAAAATTTTCTTTCCCAGAAGTTTTTTTTTATTGTAATCAAATAAAGGGGTGTGCGTAATAATTTGAAAATCAAAAGTTAACAGTTTTATATCGATATCCAATCGTTGATTTAAATTAATTTTAAAAACCCTTAAATTTTCCCAAAAGTGTTTTTTTTGGGGCGGGGGGGTGTGGGAAATTTACGCCCGCACCCAACATTTATAGTTTAAAATATAGCGCCCTTTCTACCTTAACTGGTAGGGGGAAAAACATAAAGATGCACTTCTGTACATTATTTCAGGCACAGACGAAAAAACTTGGGGGAGAAACCACCACAAAAACGTAAGTAACCGGGGATGGGTTTTTCCCAAAACGATACAAACCCTCGAAATGAACCTAAAAGGGGATGAAGGAAATTGGGTTTTGAAGTCAACGGTTTTTAAAAAGTAAATTCTAAAAAATTTTCCCAATGTTTTTGCTTAGTTTTTTTCGACCTTTATGTTTTCTTGTATCTTTTTAATTTTGGTTTTAAAGGGTTACGGGATTGGTTGCGACGGGAAACCCAACGGGGGGATGTTAATGATCCCAAAGGGCAAAAAAACGGCTTTCGGGGGTCAAAACCCTTGTAAATTTTGTGTTCTTATTGAAAACGGCATTTGATGCCCTTTTGGGTTTCAACGGGTGCTCCCAATTACCCCTTAAAATTGTTTTCTCTGGCCCGGAGTTTTTAACTTACTGTGCGGGATAGGGGAATCAAAAATTTTTAGGAAAATTCAAAAGTCAACTTGGAAATGCCATTACAAATAATTTGAATCAGAATTTTAGATCACGTTTCCCTTGTCATCAAAGCTAATGTAATTTTTACTTGATTTTCGATACTTAGTTTTAAATGACATTTCATTTTGATACAAATAAGGCCTGTAAAGACTTGACTTAAAAAGATTTGGAGATTTCTTTTGGTTATAATGTCTATTTCGTTTACAAAATAAAAAAAACTACCCAGGGTTTATAATGATATCATCCTCATCCTCATCCTCATCATCAATCAATCATCCTTACTAGTATTTGTTACATCAAACAGTTACAACCTAATAAGAATCAATTGATCTTGATCCTAATTTTTCATCTTGACCAACGGCTTCAACAGTTGATTATAGTGCACGGACTATATAATTATGATATAGTTTGAAGTTAACTTATATATATTCAACTTAGATATTCATCCACGGTTTTTTGCACTGGAATTGATAATAATTTGAAAAAAAAATCAGCGCTCTAGTTGCTCACGAAGATATGGTGGTAAAATGAAAACACCCCTCATTTGCCTAGTTCTGGATAACATCTATTAACAGAGTTCATTTAAAATATAAAATGTTCAAATAAAAATAAAAAACTGACGCTTTCCTCACATTTGATAAACATGTCCCGAATAAAGGTACTTTAGAACCGCATTTTAAATTACGAAGCAAATTAAATCATATGTACTAAAATATTTTTTTTAACCCAAGATACCGTAGCCTAATGGTAAGATTGTAATCAGTTTAACATGATTTATATATCACCCAGTTTTCTTCACACTTTACAAAATGTAGAGTGCAAGATCAAAACGTATCGTTTTTACCCACTTACTTAAAAACAAAATTAAGTGAAATGTTTTTATGATAATAAAATTCTTATTCTTTATTCAATAATATTTGACTCAGTATGATATTAGTTTGGCTAATGAAACGTTTTTCGGCATAGCTATAGCAACAACAACAGTATAAGCTTAAAACAGTAAGAGCAACAAATGCAAAAACAAAGTAAGACCCCCAAACCTAAAACACTAAACAACAACAACAACAAAACCAAAAATTAAAACAACTGCAAACACACACAAACAACATTAACAAAAAAGAAAACAAACAATTAAAACAAAACAAACATACACACAACAACAACAATAACATCATCATCAATAAAACAAACATACACAAACAACAGCAACAAAGACTTACAAACACAAACAACAACAACAAACAAACAAACACACAAATAACAAAATTAAAGACAAACAAACAAACAACAACTAATACAAAACAAACAAACACAAACAACAACAGAGACAAACAAACGTATTACCGAAAAAATGCGTTGTTTCATCCGTATTTGTCTTGTTCATTTTACTGTGATACTGTACATGCATATACGGCTTTTCATATAGATTTCAATAATTTTGAGTACAAAGTTTTGAGCAAAGACCTGATTACTATAACATCTAACTATTCCACTATTTTTTAAAGCCTATTGTTTGTTTCTTTACAGTCGAGAGAGATTACTGGTTTTGGGTTCCACCAGTCGCGTGTGTCTGTGGAACAATAGCGTTTGTGAAAACATACCAGTTAATGATAGGCAACCATCTTTCCCGATGGATGATGAAGATGAAAACGACGACAAAGAAGGAACGGTGGAAATCCAGTGAAAATACGTGACGGGTTTCACAAAAGATTTAAAATCACTTTTCGTCAAAAGATTCAATAAACACAAATGACACATACATTGCGGAAAATACTAAGAAAAAGTAAAATTCACGGTATTGGGGTATAAAAAGTAAAAGAAAAACACGTTCTAAAAATGTTCAATTTCCACATAATTGCCCCCCAAATTTTGTTGAAATTTTTCTCAAAAACCCGGGCACAATCATTTTTTCAAAGGGTGATAAAAGTGGTTTTTGGTGGTTTTGGGAGTTTTCAAATTCCCGGGTCACGGCAAAATTCAATTTAAAGGGCACAGTTTTAAAAATAATCCCTGCCCCAATAAAAATAGACACGCTGTTTTACTAAGGTGTTTCTTTTGTGTACATGATAAGTATATCGAAACATCATGTTTCTTTTTTAAAAACCCTAATTTCTATGTAAAACCCCCCAAAAATTTAAGCTTGAAATTTTTTAAATTATTAAAACGCCCTTTAAAATTATTAGGGTATTTAACCAAAATTTGGGTTGCAAACCCTAACTGAGTAAATTTTTATAATTATCCCCCTTAATTATTTTTTTTTTATCAAAAACTTTGGGAAAATTTTTTACCCTGTAAATAATTTTAAAAAAAAAGAATTATGTCAATACATCATCGGTTAGACAATCTAAGAAACCCATCAAAGTAAAAATGGAAATTTGATTTCAGATTCTGGGGTTTTAAAAATATCAAAATTGGGTTTTTATAAAAATTTAATTTTCCACAAAAGGTATAAAAATGTGTGGCAACCTTTTTGGTATTTTCTTTGGGGCTAAACTTTTAGGTTATTGCTAAATTCAACGCTTTACTTTTTAAAAAAACGGGATATTTTTTTTCTCCCTTCCCATTTTTTTTTTTGGTTTTGTTAGTTTTTTTC